GTTTTTATATTACATATACATTACTCCTGGTTTTTATATTACATATACATTACTCCTGGTTTTTATATTACATATACATTACTCCTGGTTTTTATATTACATATACATTACTCCTGGTTTTTATATTACATATATATTACTGCTGGTTTTTATATTACATATATATTACTCCTGGTTTTTATATTACATATATATTACTCCTGGTTTTTATATTACATATATATTACTCCTGGTTTTTATATTACATATATATTACTCCTGGTTTTTATATTACATATACATTACTCCTGGTTTTTATATTACATATATATTACTCCTGGTTCTTAGGCCTAACATTAGTTTAGCCTTTATTAAGTATGACTTTTATTCGATAAAAGAGATAAATTAACACTATAACTTGTGCACGTTTTTTTGCTTTAGTTTAGTTAGCACTAAACTTTACTGTACTTAATACTATCATATAATGCTTTTCTATGACCTAACTTTAGATCTTTTTAAAAACTTTGATAAGCCTTTAATATGTTGCTGTACGAAATGTTTAATAAAGTTATTTACATCTGCCTTTTGTTTACATCCGTTGAAATGAATAGCGGGTACATTTAGATAGTAAGTTGCATGCTTATTTTCAGGACAGACAAAAACTGGTTATTATAATAGATTTAATTATGATACCTTTCCTTGTAAAAATGTGTTTAGTGATAATTATTTCAACTAAAGAACACATGCTTGAACTCTTTAAGGTAGAAAATACATTTTTAAATATTAGTATTTACTTTGAAGATAATAATGTACCTTATATAACTTGAACTTTAGCATCTTGACTTGAACTTATAGTGGAAACAGTAATACTGAAATATATATATTTATTGTTTAGTAAATGTGCAATGGATGCTCTGGAAGACATGTGTAAATGGTTAGAAGATGATGGGGAAGTAGCAGTAAGTACAAGTTATCTTCTACATGTGTATATTTTCATCAAATCGTTGATGTTTAGACCTTTCTAAAATCTTCACTAGAGATTTTCATATATTTTCAATAATTGATGAAATTTGGTTGAATGGATGGCAACTGCCTGTTGTAGAAGTATAGAGGAAAACATTGTCTTCTATACTCGTCTGTCATCTATTCAACCAGATTTCATCATGAATACTCTGCCTAAACGATCTAAAGAAAAATACTTATGTAATCTTTTTTAATTCTGTATTGTAGACATATAGTCTACAATGTATAATAAAGATACTTTATACAATAAGAAGATATACTGAATGATAAATTCATATTTGAAAAACCAGGAGTAATATATATGTAATATAAAAAAAACAGGAGTAATGTATATGTAATATAAAACAAGTGGATTTATAGATTCTAGTATCTGCATGTTAGGCCTAAGACAAGTGGATTTATAGATTCTAGTATCTGCATGTTAGG